CCGGATTACATGTGGACTTGTCAAATAATGATATTTTTAACAATAAATAGGAAATTTGACAAAAAGGAATTTAAATTGATAATAATTCCATTGACTGCGGTCTATTCTAAATGGAATTGTTTTATGAAATATTTTGATGGGAAAATAAGGGTGGCATATCAAGGAGAGGTGTACCATGGGATAATGGTCGCATATTAAGGAGAGGTGTACCATGGGATAAGGGTGGCATATCAAGGAGAGGTATACATTTGGATATAAGGGTGGCATTTGTGTGTGTGTGTGTTATGTAATATAACTCTTACATTCATATCCTTTAAGATTATGTGATCTGCAATCTTTATTTCTTTGTCACTTAAAGATTTAGGATCAACGTTCTTACTGGAAATCACAGTCTGAATGTTATAGAGAAGGGGATAGCAGGTTTGGCCTGAAACTTTGAATAAACCTTATTTGATTTAAGAGATTTAAAAGTGGTATTATGATAATCTGGTTAGTGCAAACCTGTTTGAAGTTGATATATTGTTTGTAAACCGAGAATTTTGCTTGAAAAGTGAAAGGTATTGGTACTATGCTCTTACTTGTATATATATTTGTTATATATATATATATGAAAAGTTATTTTGTATAAAGTTTTGGTGATTATCCCCCTGCAATATCATAATAGGGTAAGTCACTTGACCTTTTGGTCTAACCCTCGTTTTGTGATTTTAAATATGTATTGCAGGAAGTGCATAAGGTAAAGGAAAGGAAAAAATGTAATATTTTCCCTATGTGTTTAACAACATGAAGATTTGCTAGTGATATGTATAGTTTTGTAAATGAAGTTTGATTAGTACAAGAATTGTATTTGGAATTTTTGGACCTTGTATTCTGTAAATGATAGATTCTTGTACTAGGGGACGTATGTGGTATACAAACATGTGTCTCTTGTATATGGATTATATGTTACATGCAATATGTGGTATGGGGTGTTACAGAAAGTGGTATTAGAGCCTGAGTTTAAGGGATTTAGGTATTTAATAGCATGATACCTAGACTTAAACTATTTTATTGCATGTTAAGGGTCCCGGACATAGTTAACTCCATTGGAAATAAATATGATGAGTTGAAAGAACAGTGTGTAAGGTAAATTTTAATTACATCTGGCCAGTGTAATTATGAATTTACAGGTACACATCTGAACTTAAATACTTCATTATATTTGGAAATATGAATATGTGTTTATTTACACTAAAATTTGCAGATGTTTAGCCGAACTAGAAGATCTGAAAGAACAGCTCGTCTAGAGTCTGAAGAAAGGGAAGAGTCACCTGTTAATCTTCCGACTGGCACATCTGGAATCAGAGGACGAGGAAGACCAAGGGGACGAGGCAGAGGAAGAAGCCAGTCTCAAGGGAGGGGTCAAACTGGAATTCATTCTGAACCTGTAGAATCCCATTCTGGGAATGTTCAGGAGAGATTGATGCCACATCCTGAATATGTAAACAGGGACGTGTTGGCTGAAGAAATGGGTAGGTTGCAGGAAACTCTGACTTCTATCATGAGGGTACCAGCCAAGGTAGAAATAGAAAGAGTAGAAGTTCGTCCTTCGGTACCGGTTACTCATAACAAAGGAGATATTAAATTGTTTCTGGCATGTAAGCCACCAACATTTTCTGGAGAAAGGGATCCAGTGAAAGCCGTGTGCTGGATCAAGGAAATGGAATCTGTGTTCAACACCATTCGGTGTCCAGAAACAGATAAAGTTCGATTTGCTGTTTTTGTATTAAAATCTAATGCTTTGTTCTGGTGGGAAGTTGAATCATCGGCCAAAACAGATGTTTTACAATCATTGTCTTGGGTAGAATTTGTGGATCGATTCAAGAATCAATTTTGTCCTAAAACTGATGTTAGACAAATGGAGGAAGATTTTCTAAAGTTGGAACAAGGTAATGGAACAGTTCGGGAATATACCGAGAGATATTTAAATATTCTCGCTTTGCGAAACACTACGTTTCAACAGAATCGAGGAAGAAAGAAAGGTACATTTGGTGTTTGAAACCCTCAATTAGAGAATTTGTCAATTCTATGAACCCCAATACCTTTTCGTTGACGGTAGATACAGCCGAAGTGACTGAACAAAATAAGAACCGGCAGCCAGAAGGAAAGGTTGTAGAGAAAAGAAAATGGGAGGGTCCTTCAGCTTTTCGAGGACCGAAAACGGTAACATATGATAACATATCCGAATAGAAGATAAGTGAGAAAGTTTGCTCACAATACCGACAGGTTCATCAGGGTGAATGCAAGATGGACCCAAGAAAATGTTATAAGTGCGGTGAAACACGCCATCTGTCGAGAAGTTGCCTAGCTAATCGAAGATGTTTTAACTGTAATTCTCCGGATCATATTCGACCGAACTGTCCATTGTTAAGAACGCTACAGTTAACAATGGGGAGTAACGTGTCAGCTACACAGGGAAGGCCTACGGTAAATAGAGGAGGGCAAGGAGAGGCACTGGGACGGTCTTTCCAGATGACTAAAAACGAGGCAGAAGCATCACTGAATGTAGTAATAGGTACTTTCCTTCTGAATTCAATACGTGCTAAGGTGTTATTTGACTCGGGTGCAAACTTTTCGTTTGTATCACCATTGTTTGCTCAAACAGCATGTCTGATGTAATATCCTGATTATTATTATTTTTTTTTTCTTTCTTTCTTTCTTGGTTATATATATATATATATTATATATATATACATATATATATATATATTATATATATACATATATATATATATATATTATATATATATATATATTATATATATATATACATGTTATGATTGTATATGTGTGAGTGTGTATATTATATTTATAAAAGAGGGAGGTCGGCTAGTTTAGCCGCCATCCTCTCCTCTTTTATCTTTCCATGTATATATTTATATAATTGTGAAGATAAGCACACAAAAACACAGACCATATTTGAAAGTTTACTCTGAGGAATTGGAAGATTTCACAGGAAGAAGAAAACTGTAAAAGTTTTGATTCT